TGCCAAAGATGCTGTTCTGCTGTGTTTAAACTGCCTACCTGATTCATGTCCACAAGGTTGAAGTTCTAGTCCCAGTCTCATTACCATTTGTGTGGGTAGACTGGGCTTTGATGTCTCTGAGTAGCTCCTGCCCTCATCCAGAAAGATATCAGTTAACTGAGAAGCACTGTGGTCCTGAGGGAAGAAGGGTCTTGGGTAAGTGAGAATTGTGGTGATTTCATAAGAAGATCTACATGTAAAGTTTCCAGTTCCAGTCTTTGGGTAAGTTGATAGCTGTCACCTGTTAAAAGGAATTGGACTTTCTGAAACCTAAGCACACAAAGCTTTACTTTATTCAGATGCAAACAAGGTAAAGATAGGTTTTGGCTTTTTACTCTGTAGTGCATATTAAATCCCCTTGCTGTGACACATTTTCCTTTCAGGTGTGCATTAGAAATAATCCTGTTGTTTTACCCTCTTCTTTTAGAATTTGCTTCTTTCATTCTTCTCTTCAGGGGGCTCTTGTAAGATAATTTTCCCAACTAGATCCCCTCAACTTCTTTTTAGTCTAGTCATAGATGAAGATCCTCTCCAGGGGGCCTATGTCCAATTCTAGGCTCCACTGCTAAAAAGAAAAGGAGGTAAAGGTTTAGGAGAGCCAGAGTAACTGGCAGAAGGTTACAACCTGGGTCTTATTGTCACAAGATGAAACAGGGATTCTGTGAGGCTTAGAGGGATGATGGAGTAATTTGGCTTTTAGATGAAGATCCATCTTCTTTTTAGGAGGTAAATAGGGATCAGAAGACTCGAAGTTAGACTCAAAGGAATTAATTTTAATTCCTCAAACCCCTAGTTTTTCTTTTCAGATGGCTTTGCTTTCAACCTAATATCCATCAGTTGTCAACTCTCAACTTCCTTACTATCCCTATCCAAATCTCTCCATCATTACCTCTGTTGTAATGCACCTCCCTCTCCCCCCAAGTCAGTCAACAAGCATTTATTTATTAAGTGTTTACTATATGCCCAGGTACTGTGCTACCAAGCAAGCTACTAAGCACTGGGGATACAAAATTTGGTTTAAAAACGTCATTCCTGCTCTCGAGGAGATAGCATATAAAAGATTTGTAGTCTAAATAGAAAGTACTTTCAGAGGGAAAGCCACTAGGGTGGGGAGAGAAAAGGGGAGATTGCAAAGGCTTCCTACAGAATATGTGGTCTGAGTCTTGAAGGAAGCCAGAAGTCAGAGGTGACGAACAAGAGCATTCCAGGCACAGGAACAGCCACTGAAAATGAATTGGGATGTGGAGTATTGTGTATGAGGAACAATGTGATAGTGTTGCTAAATCATAGAGTAAATGGAAGAAGGTAAAGTGTAAGAGACTTAATAAGATTGGGAACATTTAGTATTTTATCCTGGGGGAGTTTTAAGGGATTGACATGGTCAGACCTGTGCCTTTAAGAAGATTACTTTGGCAGCCCAGTGGAGGAGACATTGATAGTGGGGAGGGACTTGAGGGCAGGGAGACCAACCAAAAGAAGGGTATTGGCTATTGTCTATACATGAGGTGATGAGGGCCTGGGCTAAGTGGGTAGCTGTGTGAGTGGAGAGAAGAGGATTTAAGAAACATAATGGCAGAAGAAGAAGACTTGGCAATAGACTGGATGTATGGGATGAATGTGAATAAGGAGTTGAGGGTGACAATGAGGCTGTGAGTCTAAGTGATTGGAAGATTATGATGCCCTCAACAATAATGGGGAAGCTTGGAAGAGGGTAAAAGGTTTGGATGAAAAGAGAATTCTGGATGTGTTAAATTTGAGATGCCTATTTGACATCAAGTTGGAGACATTGAAGAGGCAATTTAGTGATATAAGACTGGAGCTCAGGAGAGAGATTACAGCTGGATAAATAGATGTGAGATCACCTCCATAGAGATGATAACTGGAGGAAGAAATAAGTTCTAGACCAAAACCTGCATTATGGACTATCGGGTCAGGCAATTAAATTCAGAACAGCAGAGTCACCCAGAAGGGACCTTAGGGATTATTTAGTCCAACTAAAGGTAAAGTGAGGCCCAAAGAAAGAAAGTGGCTTGCGTAAGGTTGTAAAGGAGCAGCTAGATTGTGCAGTGGATTGAGCACTTGGCTTGGAATCGGGAAGACTCATTTCCCAAAGTTCAAATCCAGCCTCGGACATTTACTAGCTGCTGAGCAAGTCACTTAACCCTGTTTGCCTCAGTTCGTCATCTGTAAAATGAGCTGGAGAAGGAAATGGCAAACCACTCCAGTATCTCTGCTAAGAAAACTCCAAATGGGGTCACAGAGAATTGAACACTACTGAAACAACTGAACAACAAAAACGAAGGTTGTAAAGCTAGTTATCGGCACAGCTGGGACTAGAACCCAGGGTTCATGATTACTAATAAGTGTGCTTTGTACTGCACCATTTTACTGTTTAGTTAAGAGTGGAGGTGATGTGTGACCTATAGTATCTTTGAAGCCATGTAAGCCTGTGCTTTTATCTCATCTCCTTTCACTACCTTCTAAAGCCACCTTCCAGTGATCATCCACCTCTTGTGTCTTCAGTCTCTTCTTTCTGTTGGCTCCTTCTTTATCTATGGATAATGCTTAGGTCTCCTAAGTCCTCAAATCTTTCCTTGACCTTATTCAACCCCTCAAACAACCATACAATTTTTCTTCTTTTCTTGGTGGCTAAATTAAGTTGTCTCTTTGTGTACAACTGAACCCTTAGCAATCTGGCTTTTCTTCCCCCCCACTCTTCTGAAACTGCTCTGAGGTTACAGTCACTTCTTAATCATCAAATCCATGGTATTTTTCTTAGATCTCTGTCCCTGGCATTTGTCACCATTTTACCATGGTTTCCTTGGCATATTTGCCCTTTGGTTTCTATGACAATAATCTCTCTGACTTGTTACTTCTTTCTCGCCTTTGCTAGTTTTTCTTCCAGTCTCTTATCTGTATGTTTCCCAAATACCTGTTCTTAACTTTTATTTCCCAGCACTCCTTTTCTTGGTGATCTCATCAGTTACAATGGCCTTAACTATTACCTTTCTGTAGCTGTAAGACTTAGATAGTCTTTAATATCTTTCATTTTTAAAGTTGTGATTTTGACTGCCAAATTAAGGCCAAATTCGAGGCTTCTACTTACTGAACGTCTGTGGATGACCATGCTTGCCAGCATTTCCTGTTGTGCACTGCCTATGCCACCCCATAAACTGATACTGTAACCTCCAATGGCCCATTCCCAATGGATAGCTTTCTCATAGATTGCTTTATTTATAAAGCTAAATATAAAAGCAAAAAAAGTTACAAAGTCAGTGAAGTTTTTTTAAAAATTACAACACATGATGGATAATTGTTGGACCAGTTGCTCCAAATGGTAAATATTTATCCCTGCTACATACAGTGATTTTATTTGGTATAATGATATGATTTTGCAGTGGCTTTTACTTTTATCACATTTTAAGAAGTAAAATTTCTATATGAAAATAATTGAAATTGTACAAGAATTAAATTCTGGCGACTAATCAAACATGAAATATGAAAATGGTTTGTGATGAAATAACACTTTGGATAGCTTCTGGAAAAGGATCTGGGGGAGCTAATAAAAAACAGGATTTAGATTTTTGCTTTGGATATTATTGTACTATGTTATAAATGATTTTATCTCACCTTCCATCAAATTATTTTTTCCCCAGAGGAAAAAAATAAAATATACTGTCTACAAACGCCAAGCACATGTATTATTAGTTCAGATAAAGCTAGAGGGCTTGTATCAAAATAGATTGGAAATTGTTCTCTACTGCCTGTTGGGTCCCAAATTGAAGCCACTGTCTCCCAGGCAACCCGACTGGTCTTACTCAGTTCCCTTTGCAAAAAATCCACTGTGTGGACCTTGTTCTCCCTGCTTTGCTCTTTGTATGTGGCCTGGGGAATAGTATCTGCTTATGGTATCTTTTTCCTGTGCCTTGGAATCAGTCTGTAGGTTTGGTTTGAAAAGTCATTTGTCACTTGGAGGGAGGGGTGAACAGTTTGAGGGGAGAGAATTTTGGGGCCTTTGGATGAGAGTCTAAGCAAGCATGGTAGGTAAGTCTCTCCCAGGAGTGAGAAAAACACTGAAATGATCTATAAAACCTGACCCCCATGGGGGGTGGGAAACCCTCTTGTCAATATGGCCTTGACCCCAACAAGAGAGTGGTATTGGGCTTGGGGGGGGGGGGTGTTTTAGTAAGTTGGCCTTTTGACTTGGAATAAAAGGGTTCTGTCCTTGGGCTGATTTTCTGTACAAAGCCCCGGGACCTTTTTATGTGTATACCCTTATGGAAAACTAGCAGAGGCCCCAAGTGACAAGGTTCAGCTGTGCAGTAGCTGCACAAAGGGCAATAAGCAAACTAAGTGTAGTGCTCGCAGTGTAAACAGCTTCCTAAGGTTCAAACTTTTATATAGAAACCTAGTAAAAAGTATCTTTATTCTTAGGTAAAAAAGTTGCATTCCTTGTTGACGCCTTAAGAAAATACAAAAATAGTTTGTACACTATAAAGATCATTTTTTTTTCATAATTTCTTGGCAATGCTATAGCAAAAATAATACATTGTCTTCAATATATAAGAAGTTGGGTAGAGAAGGGAAAAAAAATAGACTACCCTTATAATGAATGGTTCCTTCTGAAACCAGGATGTCTATACTCTGGAGAGGGAGCAAAAAAAAAAAATGTTAAAATTCCAAGGCTCAGGGTTAGACGGGCTCAGAAATTGATTATAATAGCCACTGTAGTCAGCCTGTTGTATAGGGGCGTGGATCATCTTAGTATTTTTTAGACTTCTAGTGGATTATTAGCACTCCAAACCAATGGACCTAAAAAGGTCACACCAGCAGGAATTTTTTATTTCCTGGGGGTTTTAGCATCATCCCTCTTTTTTTTTTTTTTTTTTTTGGGCAGTTGGGGTTAAGTGACTTGCCCAGTGTCACACAGCTATTTAGTTAGTGACAAGTGTTTGGTCTGAGGCCAGATTTGAACTCGGGTCCTCCTGACTTCAGGGCCGGTGCTCTATCCACTGTGCCACCTAGCTGCCCCTATCATCCCTCTTCTTATAACTCCTTTGGGGTCTTATCTCCCAGGAAGCACCGAAGGAGGAAAGCCTTAAGCTGTCTTTGTTAGCTGAAAGGATACTAGTACAATTTTGAATCAGAATTGGAAGTTTAAGTGAGGTTTGAGGTTTATCTATGGGTCTTAAATACCATATCTAAACTCCTCCTTAATCAAGACGCGACTGTAATGACCAAGTCTCTAACAAGTGGTTTTAAACAACTACACCTGGGAATGTATAGAGAGTCTTTAAAAAAGAAAAGTGATTTGACCAAGGACTGCTGCTGCTAAGCCACCCCCAGACTGGTTTTCTGCATCTCGGTCATCAGGCGGCACTGGGCGCTCTGTGTCGTCCTCCATTGAGTCATTGGGACGTGTTTCTGAGGAAACTAAGGTTTCTAGGAAATATTTTGAGCAGTTAAGGCAAACAGTGCCCTTGAGTGAAGTGGCCAGACTTCTCTGTCCTCTTGCAGAACAGCTCGCGGGCATAATGTGGAATTTATTGCAAGCAGAGCAATAAATGTTTCTTCTGAGTTTACACAGGGCCCTTGAATAGGCTAAAACAGTTGGTTATCTGTAAACAGTGTTTTCCTGTCCTTTGAACAAGAAGTTTTTCTTCGTCATTGCTGTGAAGAAGAGTCCATCTTCCACAGCTAGTCACTGTCAGAGTTGGCACTTTGGTCTTGAACGTGAAACTTTGAGGTGTCCGATTTGTCTGTTCCTCTTTCCAGAGTGTGCTCTACATAGGAGGGGGAGGCATGGCTGGTAGGGCAGGGCCCAGCAGTGGCTTAAAGCAAAAGGATCAGAAGCAGGCATGTGACCTGCTGATATTTAACAGTGAGAAACCAAGAAATTGTGGGCATTTGGCTAATTAGTACTACTTTATATTTTATAGCACTTTTATAGTACTTTTTCATATCTATTATCTTATTTGTAGAACAGCTGTTATTCCCATTTTATATAAAGATGAGGCAACTGAGATTCAGACAGTAGTTTGCCTGAGCCCACAGTAGCTCATTAGATAGTAGTAGGAGCTGGGACTAGAGTAAGTGTTCTGAATCCAAGTCCAGTGTGTGCCTTCTACTACACCTTGCTGAAATCCACTCTGGACATAAAGGGCTGGCATATGGGATGACATTTTGAAATTTGTCTGACCACTCTCCTGAACAGCTTAACTTGAAGGGCCCCACAGCTTAGGCAGGCTGTGTGTCACTTTGTTGCATAAGGGCCGGGCACTATGTGGGAAAATGGGGTGAGGCCCCAGGCCAGTTTTTGTTGGATTGTCTGGCTGGCTCTTGACCATATGTGGAAATCTGTGGAGAAAGCAAAAGTATCCTCTGCCTTTGACATGGCTGCCTAATGGAAGAGGGAGGATCCTTATGTTCCTGTTGCCATGATGCTTGTATGCTGCTGAATATTCATGGAAAGGCTGCTGAGAAGTCCAAGGGCTGAGGATCACCTTGCTGGGAGTCCAACCCCATGAGGAGTAGGCTTGAGATGGAGAGAGAGGGAGAAGGGGCAACTTGGTGGTCTGTGTGTGAAATCATTGGGACTGGTGAGCTGGTCTGGGGTAAAAGCAGGGCGAATGTATTGGAGGGAATCCAGAGGGGATGGAGGGGAGTCTATAGCACTGCCATCTGAAGAAACTGGGCTGGTGCAGCGTCCTTCTCCTTCTCCTTGTAAGTACCGAATGCATTTCTTTTTCCTCCTAAGAATAGTGAAGAGAGTTATCTGTAAGCAAAGGGTTGAACTGACAATCATATATCTCAAACAGGTGTGTTGTTACTGCAACGGGGCAAAACCCTACAGGAACTAGATCCTTAGTGCCTTTCTTCTCTCCTAGGGACCATCTGCTGAGAAGCTTTCTTAGAAGCTTCTAATTCTTGGTTAGTAAGTAAATGTGCTGCCCTTCCCATTAGATGGCAGCCTGACTGCTACAGACTCCATAATCTTCCCCTGCCAACTTGGGTTTTATGCATCTTGTTAAGAAAACAGATTCAAGGGTATGCCCTTCTTTAGGAGTCCATAATTCTAAAAGTTAGACTTTGCCTATTTCACCCAGGTTGTTGGGGAAAGGGTGACTTTAAGAGAATGGCTTTAAGGAGAATGTTAACAACAGGGAAATACTCAAATCTTAACTACAGGTGTGCTGGCATTGCAGCAGTAGTAAAGGATTGTGATTTTTTTTTTCCTTTCAATACCCCAAAGGCAACTTACTCTCTTCCCCCCCCCCGAACCCACTCTTCCTTCTGACTTTTTATTCCTTCCAGTAGCCCCAATATTTTCCCATTTACTGTGCTGCAAAGTGTTAGGAATTTCTGTGACTTCTCCTTGGTAGTCACCAAAGCTTGATTTTTCCTCTGGCATCTGCATCTAGCCCTTCCCATTTAAGCTGCTGCTATCACTGTCATTCAGGCTCTTATCTCCTTTCATTGGGACAATTATAATATCTCCTAACCATCTCCCTAGTTTTCTCCAACCAATTTCCTCCACATCGTTGTTAAAGTACTTTTCTAAAATGCTCATGTCTGACCATACCATTCTTAAAACTGTTCAGTGGCTCCAAACTGTCCATACCTTAAGTCTGCCATTCAAGGCCCTACAGAGTTTGGCACTGTACTAGTTTATCAGTCTAAGCCTCCAACACTCTTTGCTATACTCCTGTTTCAACTGGTTTGGACTATTTGCTGCCTCCCATATATGTTTAGTGCTATCACCTTTGTTTGTCTTTTTGTTCATGTTGTTCTTTGTACCTGAAATATCCTTCTCATCACTATCAGTTGAAATTCTACCCATCCTTCAAATCTCAGGAAAAATGCTACCTGCTCCATGAAGCATTTCCTAGGTAGAAATGAATTCTTTTTAAGAACTCCTATGTCACTTTGTTTATGCCTCTAATATAATTTGTGATTATGTTAGTTATGCTTTTGTCCCATCTCCTTTATCTGTTCCCTGTTCTTTAGTCATGTAGTAATTGGGGCCATCATCTCCTCTTGCCTGGCCTATTGTAATAGCTTCCTATTCTACGGTCTCTTCCCTTTTATCCATCCTTCATTATAGTTGCCTTCTTCCTTATACAAAACATCTGTCCCATTTCTTTTCCTGCTCAGAAATCCTCATTGTGTTTTATTCCCTCTTATGAAATAAGGACTGGACTTATTTCACTGGTATAGGCGGCAACTCCTAGGAGAGACAACTCCCTCTGTAATCAACTTACAGCCTTAAAGTGCTGCCTAGAGCACTAAGAAGTTAAGCGGCTTGCTTAGGGCCACACAGCCAGCCAGCTTTCTATGTTACTACACTACAGTTCCCTTGATTCCTTATATTTAAAACACACCTCTTAGCCCAGCATTTGAAACACTTGATAATCCTACAGCTACCACCTGTCTTACCTCCCTCATTTCACACTACTCCTTTTCACAAACTGTTCTAAAGTGGACTACTGACTGATCCCCAAACTCAACCTTCTCTGCCTCCATGGATTTTTTTCCAAGCTATTCGTCTTGGAATGTATTTTTTTCTTATCTTTGCTTTTCAGATTCCCATGTGGCCTTCCATGATCATCTTCCTCTCCCCACTATTTCCCCTTTTCAGATATCCCTATAGTAGAGATTTATACTTTGCTCTCATTTCTCTCTACCACCTTAAGTTAGGTTTTTTGGTTGGATAAGTTGAAATTCCCTAATAGAATATTAAAGCTCCTTAAGATAAAAAAAAGACTGTGCCATTTATCTTTGTATAGCAGCTCCTAGCACAGTTCCTTGCATATAGGAGGTGTTTAGTAAACTTGTGTTGATTTGAATTACTACATTTCACCCAGTGGTAAGCTCCACTGAGGACAAGGACTGTGTCTTATTTTTTCTTTTCTCTTCCACAGTGTCCAGTTTAAGTCTCCTGTCAGTCTTACTAGAAACTCAGGAAATTATTGATTTGAACTTTCTTCCTTGCTTGGCTTAGCTAGAGTTCTGGTCAAAGATTTTCTTCTCAACTTAGTACATTACTTGGTTTCATGAACCTACACTGTAAAACCTTACCTTCTCAGAGGATGATGTTAGTCCTAGCACAGCCACAAGATAGCAAAATGACAATAAGTATTATTAGGAGAACAGTAGTTCAGCCTGGAAACCCATGGGAATTCTAAGATAGTCCCAGGGAATCTGAGAGCTGGTAGACTTGGACTATTACAAATTTGGATAGTGGGATAGAAAGGAAAGGGGCTTCATTAATGTACAAATGTGCTTGGTAGCCTGTGGGTGATAAATGAGCCCACTGCACAAGGCCCTCAAGGATGTGAACGCTGTGATTGAGCTCTGTACCCTGATAGTTAGAGGGAGCAGAACTAAAGAGCAAAATGGAGACTCCAAGGAACACTTACTTTCTTTGACCAAAGGCAATTCCTCTTGAGGAAATAATTTCCCCTGGTTCTTCCCTTCATTTGCCTTCCCACTATAGTAATAGCTTGGATTTGATGCATTCCAAATAATGCTTAAAAAATGAACAACAAAAAAAAAACTTAAAAGACTTTGGGACTCCCTAACTGGACAGAAACATCTGCCCTTGGCCACAGAACTTGAGCTTTGGGGATGTGGAGGTAGATGAGGGAAGGAGGAGGGGCATGGTGAGAAAAGAGAGAGGAATGTGTTTGCTCTTTGTAAACATATTGCCATTACTTACCAGGTACCCTCTCAGTTTTTTGTTGTTGAGACAGGAATGTTCTATTAGAAGTTACCTAGGGTAACTTGTTTGACCTGGAGATCATCTTTGTTCAACAGAGTTGAGCACTAAAAATAGTGGGAATACACCCTAGTGTCTGCTTCTGGAAAGTTTGTCTTGAACAATTCATCCTACAGTGGTTTCTCTTCCTCTGAATTTCTCTAGCACCAAAGGTCAAAGTCAAAGCAAATGTTTAACAAATGGCTCTTATACAGGACAGACTTTTAAGTATAAGCTATATTATTAACATTTTTGTCCCTGTTGATGTTTTGAGGTGTGAATGTTCATTCTGAAAATTTTGAGTTCCAGTACACTCCTGTCTAGCACTTAAAGTCTATGCCAATCCATCCAATAGTTTATTCTCTTATATTCTCTAGTTATTTTACAGATGTAAGTCTTATCTTTACAGGTAGACTGTCAATATCTTAATGGTCACCAGGTCTCCCCCACAGCTTAATTCAGGGCTAGCAAGGTACATGGGAACTCACTAAAAGCTTGTTGGATTAACTACTGGGACTAGGAATACTAAGATTCTACCTTCCTGTTAATCATCCGTGGGACAGTTAATTCATTGATGGACCCGATAGGACAGGAATACCCAGCATTTTTTCTATCCATTTATGGAAATGTTCGTGGACTTGAATTGAGGGAGGAGTCCCAGTTCTGTCAGTGACTCATTTTTGACCTGTTATAATTAATTTCCTTTTCCTAGGCCCTACTTTCCTTCTCTATGACCTGAAGGGGGTTAAACTGCAAGTGTGGGTTGGGCACAATAAAAACTGAATTGAATTTCTAGGACCTTGGTCATAGGATTTTATAGCTGGAAAGTGATCTCAGAGATCATCTTATTCTAACCCTCTCAATTTATAGAAGAAACTAAATACCAGAGGGGAGATAGTAATTTGCAAAAATTATGCAGGTATTAAATAGTGGAGTTAAGATTTGAACCCAGGTCCTCTGACTACAAATCCTATTGGATCTTTTCACTGGATCCATTTGTTCACAGACTTGTCTTCTCTAAACCTAAACTAGGCATGAGGTTGCCCACCTATGGGCCAGAGATTGACTCTTACATTAAGAGGCCAAGAGATTGGGGCTGCCATCTTCTTCCAGTCCCTAATCTATAGCTTCAAGGAAGAGAGCTGCTGTGAGTGAGTCCATTACCTCTATGCCTGCTGGCTCTAATCTTGCTGAAGTCCTGGGTTTTCTTTTTTTGTTTGTTTGTTTTTGTTTTTTTGCTCTTCTTTTGGTCCTAGGTCCTGAGGGTCCTGCCATTCCCACCTGAGTTATTGGTTACATTTTTTTAATCTCCCGTTTCGTGAGCAGTGTCAGGAGAGGCTCAGAGAATGTGACTACCCAACCAGATTTTGACTCAGTCAGTGTGGTACAGTGGAAAGAGGGCTGCTCAGCTCCTCTGGGGAGTTAGACTAAATGGTCTCGAAAATCCATTCCAGCTCCACATTTATGATTCTGTGAGCCTCCATTGAATCTGCTCAGCGGTTTCAAAGCTAAAAGATCACCTTTGTAAGTAGGGGCATTAAAGTATCTGTTCAGTGTGACTTGGTGTTCCTCTTCTTGGATAGCCTAGCCCAAACCTCCTTGACTTTCTCCTCCTCTCCTTTCCACTTGTAATATTCCACCTATTCATCGCCAACTTTTTATATGTATTTCTTGATCATTTTCTGTTCCTGACAGAACAACGTGTGTCAACGTGTGTCTTAGATTCTTAGGCCCGTGGGGGGTATTTTTTGATCTGGCTCTCTGGATGACCTAGAAAGGGGGCTTCAGCTTGGGGCTAAGGTGAATCCCTACAGAGCAGAACTGGCTTGGAGATACTTAGTTTATGAACCCATCTCTTAGTGGTGCCATTTTCTTTTTTGCCTGAGCTAAGAAGGTTATTAGTGAGGAGAAAGACCAGAAAAGCAAGTTTGCAGGCAGCAAGGAAAACCTTGGCGGAAGTTAGAGCTCAAGTTGATGTGAACAGATGAGAATGAAGGAGTTAGTGTTTGGGGTCAGTGAACCAACACTGTGATCCAGTCAAAGGACTGTACCCTCTCCCCATCACCCAGGTACCCCCACCAATTTTATAATTATTCTGGGGATGCCCTGGGTTTCTCTGAGGGGCCAGAGCCTCAGTGAGGAACCGCTAATGGCTGGTCTGGAATGGAGAGTGGGCATTCTAGGGGAAATGGTTTATGTCTCAACCCAAGAGATGCTATCTCCAGCCTTGAATTGCAGTCTGTGCATCTCTCTAAAAGTATTCTTTGTAAGTTATACACCTAACTTCCATATCTCTGTTGTTGACACTATCCTCCCAGACATCCAGCTTCCTTGCTTTCATCTCAACCCCTACCCTCAATCAGCCAGTTGTCTTGTACTGTGCATTTTGAGCTCCTCAATCTTTCTCATCAAAGGCTATCAGCTACCTCTCACCTGGACTACTGTATTGATTCATGACTTCTTGTCTTGATTCTTACCTCTTCCAATTCATTTTTTACCCAGCTAGCTGCAGTAAAATTAGTACTTTTTATAATGTACTGTCCTATCTCATGTCTCTTTATTGCTTATTCTGATAAGTCTGAATTCCTCTGATGTATCCTCCTTGATCTGACTCAACACTGCTTTCTCATACCTTATCTCATGCATTCTTTGTGTCAGTCTAGCCAGTCTCCTCCCTGGTGAGGAAACACTTCGTTTCACAGTTTTCCCTGTATGGAATGCCTCCTGTCTCCATCTGCCACAGTGATTTCATCTCTGAACCAAACCTACTTAATATTTGTTTGTTACCTACACATTGGTAAAGAATATTCCAAAAGTCGTAGGGCAGTTTTAAGCTAATAAAACTTAAAACTGCACTAAGACTTTAGGAACACCCCATATGGTCTTTATTGTTCAGTAAGTGCTTAATGGATACTTGAAGACTTGATTCTGTTCATTAGAGATTCTATTTTGGAAAATGAGGATGCCTGTGGCATTCCTTAAATTTGGGTAGGCATTGGTGGGTAGTACAGGTGGTGGAGCATGGAGCAGGAGGAGGAGATGAAGAAGAAATCTTAAACAGGAGGGGATAAGATGGGTGTGTTACTGACTTCTAGGGATGCCTGGGGGTAAGGGATAGGGAAGGGCTCATGCAGTGTAGCCTCTGATATCATGCATCCCCCAACCCCTTCCTGGAAAGCAGCTTCAAGGGATACAGACCGGGAGGGGAGGAGATACCCACCTGCATGGACCGCACCAGTCCGTCTGCTGGTTGAGGCCAAAGCGAGCTCGACATTTCTTAGGAGAGCCAGGGTCTGCCCACACAAGCATGCGAGGTGAGGCAAGTTGGAGAGCAGGCAGAGAGGCATGGGGATGGGGCAGGAGGAGAAAAGTGGGAAGGAATAGGAGAGAAGAGGCAAACATCCATTTTAGCCACTCATCAAAATATAAAAACCTAGACCACACATCCATTTTGCAAAAGCAGTATCATTCCAGCAGGAAACCTGAGTTGAAAAAATTGACGTTAGTCTGCAGGCAAAGCAGAGCCTCAAGCAGGACAGCAGAGAAAAAAAGGGGGTGGAAGGCCTTAACCTGGAGTCTATCAGTTCTAGTTCTTTCCCTCCTCTCTGGGCATAACTTCTGAGCCCATTTCTCTGGTGCCAAGAAGAGGATAAAAGCTCAATGGGTTCACCCCCTCTGGGCGAGGGTCATATCGAGTCTTGCTTTAATTTGGACCAAGAAGGGCAAGTTCCCTTCACTCCCTGTTCCTTTAATATAGCATAATGTGCTAAGAGCATTCATTGTACTTGGAGTCAGTCAATCTGTGTTCAAATCTTGACCCTACTACCTACTATGTAACTGTTTGAGCAAATCTCTTTACTTCTCTCTTTCCTCAGTTTGTTTTCTCCTTTCAAAAATAAGGGGTTTGGAGAGAATCACCCAATCTCAGAATGGACCTCAGAGGTTATCTAGGTGAACAAGAATCCCTTCTACAACATTCCTAACAAATGGCCATTCAGCTCTTATTTGAAGCCCTCCCATGGGGGAGGGGAGTGTAACTTTTTGAGGCAGTGGCCCTTTCCACTTTAGCATAGATCTTATTAGGAAGTTGGAATTTGTTTCTGAACAACTCCTCTTCCCCCTTCTCTCTCCTTCTTGCCTCCCAATTGTTTCTAGTTCTGCAGCCTAGGTCCAAGAGAAAAAAATTAGTTCTTGTTCCATAGGGAGAGCCCTTCAAATACTTAAAGACTACTGTCATGTAGTCCTTAATTCTTCTCTTCTCTAGATTGGACATTCCCAGTTCCACATAGGAAAAACTGATCTTGGGAATGACATCATTTCCAGTCTTCCTTTCACCATGCTTTTCTGAGCATGTCCCAGGTTGTCTATGCCCTTTCTAAAACTGGGTGCCTAAAATCGAACACAGTACTCCAGAAGTGATATGATCAGGGAACAGGGCATAGGAGAATCATCTTTCTCCATCTGGCCCCTCTTAATGAAGACTAAGATAGAACTACCAGATTTAGCTTTTAAAAAAGTCACACTGTTGATTCACGTTGAACTTACAGTCCGCCAAACTATAAGACCTTTCCTATTGGAACTTCTCAAGTGGATTTTTTAAAAATCATATGTGGGGCAGCTAGGTGGCATAGTGGATAGAGCACCTTCCCTGGAGTCAGGAGGACTTGAGTTAAAATGCAGCCTCAGACACATAATATTTCCTAGCTGTGTGACTCTGGGCAAGTCACTTAACCCTAGTCGCCTAATCCAAAAAAAAAAAGTCATATGTAAGATTTTTTAAACTTATAAATCTTGTTAAATTCAGTCAACTTTTTAGTCTATTATTTAGGATCCTGACTCTCACACAGTTGGGAAGTTAACTTTCCCACTTTTGTGTCACCTGTAGATATGATAAACATTCCATCTATATGTTTGTTCAAATCCTTAATAATAATTTCTTGGAATCAGGTAACAGTGACTTATCAGTGATTATTCTTTGGGGGTGTGGCCATGAAACAGTTGTGAATCCTTCTATCTGGTTTATTATATCCGTCTTATTCTCAAGGATGGCACATAAGAGACTTTATTAAATGCTTTGCTGTAATCCAGGTATACATGGGCATTCCCCTAATCTGGTAATGTGTCAAAAAGAAAAAGGAAATAAGGTTGTCTGGATTGAACCTATTCTTTTTTTTTTGGAAGCAAAAGGGGTTAAATGACTCACCCAGGGTCACACAGTTAGCTGGTAAATGTCTGAGGTTGGATTTGAACTCAGGTTCTCCTGACTCCGGAGCTGGTTCTCCATTGTTATACACTGTGCTACCTAGTTGCCTCCTTGATTGAACCTATTCTTAATGAAGCTAAGCTGGTTTTTAAAGATCACCACTTCTCTTTTCTAAATATTCACAAACTACTTTGCCTAAGGCTTGTGATATTTTGATGGATCTGTGATCTTGTCCATGTGAGTAATCCTTTCAGTTGTTCAGATTAAAACTGTCCATGGGTCTTCTATATGACTTGTCCATGGTGTTCTATAAAATCTTCATAGGAGGTCTCACTCAACACACTATGGGCCTGCCTCTAAATCCCTTGACATTGTGTAGAAAGACAGCATAGCTTAGCGGATAACTGGACTTGGAGGTAGGAATATATGGTTTCAAATCCCACCTCTAACACTTACTAGCAGTGGTTAACAACTTAGTGGTTAACTTAGCTGTGTGATCATGGCACTAACCTCTCTGAACCTCAGTTTCATTATATGTATCATGGGGTTATATTGTGATGCTAAAATAAGCTAATGTATGTAAAGTACTTAGTAAACTTTAAGGCATCTAACTATATGTGTTACTATTATTTTGTGGTTACCAGTGGATCCTGTGGGTTCTCCATCTGTTAGCCTTTGATCTTGCTAAGTAACTGGCTCGCCTTTTTGAATCAGACATGTATGATGATATCCCTTTGCATTCCTTCCAAACAGTTCTTCATGGGTGATATGTTGCAGCCCACTCATGCTGCGACTTATAATTCTTAGGAAACTGCGATTCCATTTCTTGTAACCACAAGAATATATGCTATATATGGTTATGTATTATATGTTAAATAGATGAGCCTTTGTTTTAGGGACAAGATTAGGGGTATTAAAAGCGCTGTGAAATTTCTCCAAAGCATTTCAGCCTGCTTTCCTCCTCTTTTTTAGTTCTAGGTCCAGTTTATTGTTCATCTGCAGTATCTGTTAGAAGCTATACATATTGATGATTGGCTATCACTCGAAAGAGTCTAGTGTATCATAGTTCAGGTGATAGATATTCTTCATCCTCTTGGTTTTTCTTGGGTGAATAGTTACACTAGACTCTTTTGAGTGATAATTGATCTCAGGAAATTCTACAGTGTTTCAGGACTTGATACAATCAGGATAATATCATATGCAAACAAGAGAATCCACAGAACCTTGCCATATCTACGCAAATCCCTCTTTGATATGGACCTTGCATTAGCCGTATCTTCCATAACAATGGCAAACATATCTGTTTTATGCCTCTCTTTATATTAAAAATCAGAAGGCCATCAAACAAAGTTATTTTTGTTCATCTTTCAAGAAATTTTGTATGATTTTAACATACATGAGAGACACCTTGTTAGATGAGAGCCTAGGCATTTTGCTGTACTAAAGCAAATGGCATTTTATAGTCAACAGTCAAAAAGAATAGGGATATTGTTGTTTTTGCAATTGTTATTTAGCTGTGACTATAAAGATATGTAATCTAATGAAGAGTAGCATCTGTGAAAGCCTGCCTGCTCCTTTTTCATACCTTCACCAGAATGCTTTGATAAGTGTATGGGTTATTTTTATAAAGATTTCATAGCTGTGGGAAAGCAGGCATTGATATTCTCTTGATAGTCCCTTTGAAATGATATTTCTAGAATGTTGCCCAAAATTAAGGATGTTAAGCTCATTGGACTATACTTGGTAAACTGCACTCTCTTCTCTTTTTGAGAATCAGGACATTAGCCCTTCTCCAGTTCTGTGACACATAAGACTCAGAGATCAAATCTACCAATTCTTTCCGTAACCTGGGATCTAATTTTCCCAAGTCTTGTGATGTGAATTCATTGAGAGTAGCTGGATGCTCTCTTACAATCTCCTCCCTTATCTTGGGTTTCAGTCCTTGTTAACCATTTTTGTTTTATCTCTCCCAGTTTGAAGATCAGTCTTCTTGGCAGAAATACTAGAAACTAAATAAGAGGTGAATAGTTTTGCCTTCTCTTAGTCATCTATTATCATTATCCTCTCCATTCACAAAAAGTTATCATTCCTTCTTTGATGTTTCTCTTGCCCCATAGTTTTAAAAAATCTTTTTTATCCTATTTTATATTCATCACCAGCTTTACATTGAGCTTTGACATTTAGCAACCAGTTGTTCTTCCTTGTTAGTCAAAAATTAGGTCTAAAATAGAAGGTTCCCCTTTTAATTTCTTTCTTCTGATGAAGTTTATCATTAAAGTAAATCATAAATTTATATCTGCTCTGCTCTTGGCAGAGAGAACTTCAATAAAAATCCAGATAGTTTAAGTCCCCCATCACTGTTGTTACATTTTGCCACTTTGCAAGGTTTTTGATCTATTTTGATCTATTCTGTAACTTTTACATATTGTTTCTAGAACTGTCCCTTCAAATCTTAGTGTTATCAGTGAAGCCAAATTTGCCTCCTTTGACCAGGATCTCTAGTTCAATGTCTATTATCCATATTTTATGCATCTGTGTATAGACATCTAAGGTGATGAATTTTATTAGCTGGAATCTTGGATATTGTCTTCCTGTGTTGCACCTGCTACACTTTGAAAAAGGGCTTGGTGGAAATGAAAGTAGTTTTCCCCTTCCCACTCCATGTTTAGCTTAAATTCCTCTTGATTAGATTTGTAAGATTACAGGCAAATATAATTTTACCAGCCCTTGTTAGACCAAGAGCCATAATAATATCTATTGTTTGCTGTGGTACCGAAATCCAAACCCTGTTCTCAGCCATAATCTCCACAAGCTACTAATTTCCCAAATCAGCCTTTCCCTTTAGAAGCCTCCACCTTCCACTAGAAGTAATGATCGAAACACTCCATCTAGCCCTAATCTCTTTCAGTTTCTTAACCGGGATTTCCTAATTCCTAGCAAGCTTTCTAAATTTCTTTGGTGGTGTCATTGGTTCCTACGTGAATCACTACAGGTTAGTAATGGTACTTAAGCACCCCATGTCATGTGCCTATCCATATATAGTTGACTCTTTATTCCTTAGCAAGGAGTCACCAGCTGCTTTTTGCTTCTGTCTCTGAAAATGACTGGGTGACGACCTCTTTCCTAGTGCCACATCACTTTTCCTTGGAGAATGAAAAGCTATTTCCTCCTCTCCAATTCCCCCCTTTTTAGGAAAAGCCACATGCCTATTAATTAGGCTCAAAATATACCTTCTTCCCTTCCTTTTTTGTATTGTATTATTATACTTTTCAGCCTCCTGATGGGTCAATATACCCCTCTGCCTCTTTGCATTATTTTTCTTTTTTGTTTTTACCTTGTAGCCCTTCTTCTAGGCTTTCAAGGAACACTTCATTCTCCCTGGTAACCTGGAGTGTAGAGAGGCATTCCTCCAGCCCTTTCACCTTCTCCCCTAGGAGGAAGACCGACCTGAACTTAGTGTATATTTAGCTATTACTCTTCACCAGCAGATATAATACAAACCTAATACATCCTTGAAGGTCACTACAGAATTCCCCGTGCCTCCCATATTTTTTGGAAGCCAGATCTCCTGTCCGTTTTCTTTATTGTTGGTGTCTCTTATAGCTAATTCTTGTGGTAAGCTGCCTTTTTGCGCTGCCTGTCCCTTTCTCAGGGCTCCTGAGTAAGGCAGCTGCCTTAGGCAGTTATATTTCTGCCTATTTCATAGTGCAATAGGAGCTGCCATCATCTCAAGCAGAGAAAGAATTTTCAGCAAGATTTTGCCTTGCTTTAGATGTTCCCTTCAGATTCTGTCTTGCAGCTTTGTACTATACTTAGTTATTTTTATACATGTTTTTAAACCATTAAAATACAATCTATTTTAATCTATTAGAATGGAAGCTCCTTGAGGGTAGAGAGTTTCCTTTTTTGTTTTTGTATCCTCAGTATTTAGTGCTTAGTAGGTGATTAATAAATGCTTGTTGGCTGAATTGATGAACTCTTTAGCAGCAGTATCTAGGGCAATAGTTGTTAACCTGGGTGTGTGAAATTAGAAATATATTTAATTATTAAAATACTAATTATCAATATTAAAATTTTAAAATAACTATTTTAGTATAATTTGTTTCCTTGCTTAATCCTACGTATTTTATGTGTTTAAACACATTATTTTGAGACTGGGGGTCTCTTGACTTCACCAGAGTGCCAAAGGAATTCATGAGACCAAAAAAAAAGGTTAATACCACCTGCTCTAGAGGATCTCTAATGTCCCTTCCAGTTTAGAAATCCTCTGGTACTCATTCCACTGTATGACAGCATTGTAGCTATGCTGTAGTCCCCCTTGTAGTAGCGTAAGCCCTCCTTAGGCCAGTTTTGCTATGTTGTAGATAGAGAATTGAGCAGAAGGGGAAAACTACTAATTGTAGATAGTAAATTGAGCAGTAATCCTTAATTACTAGGATAGTAAAGTAACCCTTTGTAGACCTAAAAGTTCTCATTAACTTGCCTCAACAAAAACTCTTTGGGTCGAGTAGAATAGAGTGAGCTAGAGGAGATCAGCCTGGGATGTAGAAGTCATCCTTATGATTGTGTCCCTTCTTTGTGTTGGCCAAGAGACAGCCAATGCAGGGGGAAGGATGAGCTTTTTTTCTTAGAGGTGATAACATCATACAGAAAGAAGAACTGGCTTTTTTGAATGCTATCACTCACATGACCAAATCCAGCTGTCAGGAAAATCTGTAAGGGGTTTGTGAGCTACTAGTTGCTTAGTTAGAATGATAATCAACATAACTTTCTCTCAGTACAACCATTTTGGTGCAGGGGATAGAGTCCAGGTTCAGCTCTTCCACTAACTCAATGTGAGATTTTGGGCAGGTTCTTTCCCCTCTACAGGTCTTAGTTCTTATCTGTGAAATGAAAGCGTTTAGGCTTCATGGTGTCTAAACTAAAGTTCCTTTTAGTTCTAGCATCCTAGAACTGACATTTGGATTAGTCAGTCTGATAAATGGGCAGCTGGCCTGCATGGTATGATTGTGAGACATGTCAGGAAGGTCCTCCATTGCTCCTACATTTCTCTCTACTCTAAAATTCTATCAATACCTTGGTAGAAGGAAATTCTCCATCCTCTGAGGTCTAGGCTTTGTTTCCTATTAAAATGTAGATGGCACAATAAGGACCTTAGTCGTTAAGTCATTAGCTCATTTCTTTGAATAAGTTCATTAGAGTGTTCAAGTGAGATAATTCCCAGAGAATAGGTTTGGACAGGGTTTTTTAGGGGTGGGTGGGGGAGGACAGGGAGAGGGATGGTTATATAAGCAGTAAGTGGATCCTGGTCAGCTCATTTTGTGTGTATGGAATCAATATGGTAGGAATGGTAGAAGATACACTTCAACTACTTCATAATTTGACTTAAGACCAGTCTTTCCTGGTACAATCCTATGGGCGAAATCAGCAGCAGTGGTTCTAATATACAGGGAGCCACAAAACTTTTTTTTTTAAAAGCATTCTGCTTTTATCAGCTGGTAAATTGCCTCTAGGCTGCCTTGCCATGGAATGATCACCAGGAAATAAGAAGGGATAAACAAATTGTTAATTATTCTGGGACTAGGAGCTAACTGCAGTCTATCTTGCATAGCACTCTGGGAATCTAAGGCTTTCTCTCTCTTCTGGGATCCTTTTCTCCCTTCTTTCTTTACCACTCCTCACCCCCAGTCATGTCAGCTGCCTGAGGCATGCTCACCTGTGTTAGATTCTTGATGCTTTTCTCTTGACCTCCTCTTCTTCTTCCCCTGTGAGGGAATGGACAGAATCTTAAAACTTGAATGCTAAGAATTAAGGGATTGGGGCCAGTCCTAGTGAGGTCAGGGACATCACCCATTAGCCACATCCCCCTCTCCCTAAGTCTTTCCCAGATCTAGCTATCACAGCACTAATGATCTAAGAGGTAACAGTGGTTAATGCTTTTCCTATCACTGCACCTTATTAAAGTTCTTTGATTCAAGCTGGTGGAGTATCCTAGGACAGGACATGCAGCAAGGACCAGGAGTTTAAAAGACACTGTCTTTCCCTTCCCAACCATATTTACTTTTTTCTATCCTCCTGTTCTCTCTCTAGCTCTTTCCATAAGTTAGACTGTTCTCTGAGGGAACAGACCTCATTTTGTTTAAAACCAAAACAAAACAAACTAGAAATTTTTTTTAATGTACTAAAAAACTCACAGGATGATAGGATCTTAGAATTTAGAGCTATAAGGAGCCTTTAAGATTACCCCAGCCTTCTCATTTTACAGATGAGGAAATCAATTGAGAACTAGGATTCAAACCCAGGTCTTCTATTACAAACCAGAGTTTTTTCTTCAACACACTAAATCTCATGAGTCCACAATGTAAAATGTCAGGCAAAATAACTGATGTGAATCTTAGTCTGAAGGCTTGTGATAGTCTCACTGTCTAGATCAGATGTGGAAAATTATATCCACTTCTGTCTGCCATATTTTAGGAAGGCCATTGAAACTAGAGTGGCAGAAGACCAGAAAGCAAACAGTGGGAGGATGGTTTGGAGGAATGTTTAACCTGGACAAGAGAAGACACTGGGGGCTATGATATGGAAGAGGGATTAAATTTGTTCTGGTTGTCTCCAGAAGGCAGAATTAGGAGCAATGGATAGAAGATGCAGAGGGTCAATATTAGAATATTAGCTCAATCTTAGAAAAACTTCCATCGGTGCTATGTGATAGTAGAATGGACTGCCTTGGGAGGTGTGAGTTCTCTCCATTTCTGGAGTTCTTGTAGACAGGATTCTTGTTTGAGTATGAATTAGATTAGATTAGATCTCCAAATTCTTATGTCTCTGAGATTCTAACATTACTATGCTGTATTCTCAGGCAGGCTTTATGTTAAAGTTATTGTGCTATACTTATGGTGGACACTTCTATTTTTCCTCTTTATTCTGTATTACTCATCTGTGCCTCTTAAAGAAGGATACAGGGTGGGCTTTTTCTATCTATCCTTTTCTAAACAGCCTTCCCAAATTAACCTGGTGTTACACACTCTCACCTCCCATCTGACCATCATATCTCCTCCTGCCCTTCCAACTACCAGGCACCTGCATTATATGTATTATAATTGTCTCTGGGCTAGCTTGCATTTCTTTTCTGTGTTTTCCAGACTGTTGTTTTTCTACTGTCCCTATTGTCTCCCTCTTTTCGTCCCTCCCTCATTCACTGTTGGATGTTGGGTGAGAAGAGAGAAGTCATGTTTCCTTTTCCCCACCAGTCCTTCACTGAGGGAGAGGGCATGGGAAAGGATGGGATGAGAGCAATCGACCAATCACGCCTGGGGGAAGAACTTGGGTGTACTCTACATAGACATCTACCACAAGGATTCCTGCAGTCCAACACTCACATAATTGTCTCGGGCTGACCAGCCGGGATAGAGCTGCATGTGGAGTTGCCGTTCCTTTCGGGCCAATTCGTAATACTTGGCCTGCTCCTCTCGAGATAGCGCATGCCACTGAAATGGAACATGGGTGCTACACAGTGATTACTGGGCCCAGCCAACCTCACCCTGAAGGCCTGACCCTCCTTAGCCCATCCCATTGGGGGGGGGCTCCTTTTATGTTTTCCTGCTCCTCTAGAGTCTCCCCATCACCTCATACTTCTGGTTATCACCTCATCTGTCCTTATGGTAGGTGGGAGAGAAGAGATTGTCCATCACTTGAGAACCTCTGGACGACGGAGATCATCACCTGTCCCCCAGGGTCATGCCCACTGTTTGTTTAGCCAGTGAGACATTCAGTGACATAGAGGGATGGAGATAGATGATGGAGTAACAAAGACTGACACAGATAAGAGCAATAAAGAAAGATGGACTACAACAGATGCAGAATTTTAAAAAACAGACGGAGATGGAAGGGAGGACAGTAAGGAAGATGGAACAAGTCTGGGGGTGGAGGTGCTAGAAATAAGAGTACACATTCTAAAGGATCTTCCTCCCCTTCCCCCCCATCTTTACATCTTACATCTCCTTTCTCATTAGGTTCCCAAACCCTCCTGACTCAAGGGCTGGCCTGGCTCTTACCCTCCTCCCTAGGATCTGGTTAATGGCTGCGCTCTCTTTGAGTGTGCATTCTGCGATGACCTTGGCCCGCATCTCCTTCATGTACAGCATGAATGCATTCAAGGGCTTTTTAATGGTTGGCTTCTTAGCTTCTTTCTCCTGCTTGGCTTCTGATGGAGGTTTCCTGGCAGAGGCCGGGGTGGGATTTTTTTTTTTAGTGGGGGTGGGTGGATAGGAAGAATTGAATAAAGACAGCATGAAGGGGGGATAAATAGCATCACAGCATTTAAACTATTCCTCTCCCCTCCTTCCCCCCCACACTTTGCCAAATTGCTCTAGAGAACTAACCCATTAGGAGCTGAGAGACCTGGCTTCCAGGCCTAGCTCTGGGTTTTGATTTCTTCACTATGAAATGAGAATTATTATTCCTGCTCCTTTCAGGGAATATCATAAGGACAAATAGAACAATATCTATGAAGGGCTCTAAATCTAAGGTCAATCTAAATTGCTGCTGTAGCTCAAGCTGTATGGTCGATATTGAAAATTTGCATGTAATTAGGATTTTTATAAATCAGATCCAATTAAAAACTCATGAAGGAGGAGGACAGTGGCTTAATAGGTATACTTTTGGGAGGTGAAGAGTTCTTTTGTAAGGTGAATCATCACCACCAAATTTATTGTTTGCATAAGATTTCTTCCTGGGTTAGGTTTGTATATATTAAAAGGTGATATACAAGTAGTAACAAAGAGGTGAACATGCTCCTTTAGCCCAGAAAGGGGCAGCATCTGGCCTGAAATCACAGAGCAAGTATGACTCATCCTTAGAGCTGGATGGAAGTCACTTTAGGCTTAGCTGAAGATTCAGCTGAAGATGAAGTGGGATATGACAGCTGCCATGCCACATCCCTGATCTTCTTTCCTTCTGGGCACAAACCTTGACTTGAGGACTGGCCTGGCTCTCATCTTCCTCCCTTATATCTAAGCTACATGGAACCCCAAGATGGGATAGGCCAGACATATTAACTAGATTCCAGGCAGGTTTACATAGATCTCTGGATAGAAGATTCCTAAGGGAAACTGAGATGTTGTAAAGTCAGGGAGTGTTCCTAAAACCACCACTTAAGGACTCATGCTGAAAGCATCTTGGACCTATATTTCAGTCACAACATGGTTCTAGTCATCCTCATTATAAAAGGAGAAAGGGGGGGCTCAAAGGAAAAAGAGATAGAGTTAGTGACAAAGCCAGCTAATTATGACACATTTCTGTAGGGCCTGTAAGGTTTACAAAATGCTTTCTTCAAAACCACTTTTTTTGATGTAAATAATAATATTCCTGTTTATGGATGAGAAAATGGCACACAAAGAGACACAAAGAATTTGCCAAGTTACATAGCAAGGAAATGGCAAGAGCTGGCATGTGAACCCAGATCTTCCAGTTCTGAACCAAGGATAACACCCCCCCCGCCAAATCTTTGCTCACAGTTCACTTACAGGCCCCGGTCGTAGTGCTGTAGCTCCTGCTTTCCTGAGTGGGGCACAATGGCTGGGTGGGGGATGCCAGTGGTGTGCATACCTGAGCCCAGCATCAGAGATGGATGGGTGAACCTGGGGGAGGAGCAGAGAAAGAAGGAGAGAAAGATCACTGACTGTGCTGGGACTGCCAGCCCAGGGCACTCACTGGGTTTATCGAATCAGGAGGCTCAAGGAAGGAATGCCAGGGAGAAGAGGCTATGAGTGAGACATACGCATATTCCCAAACAACACTGAGCATAGACTCATCACTCCTCCTCCCCCCTCCCCCCAAAAAAAAAACCCCACACATATGCACAAATGAGGAAACCAATGAGCATAAAATTAAAGACTTGCTTAAAGTTAATACTGATGGTAATTGGCAGAGCCAGCATTTGAACCCATGTTCCCAGGCTGTAGATCCAGCAACCTACTATTGCAGCGCTCTGCCTCTCACACAGCTCTTATTTCTGTGGTGCTTTAAAGTAAACAAAATATTTCCCTCACCACAGACCTGGGAGGTAGATAGTGCAGGTGGTATTTTTTCTATTTTACAGCCTCAGGTTAAGTGACTTAGTTGCTGTTACACAGCATTTTTGGTGATTAAAGCTTACGTTCCACTTCGTTGGTTTCTCCCCCAAAGTTACACTGCACCATGGTGTTTGGGGGCTATGGGGATCAGTATTGATCAGTATTGGGATGCTTGGAGCCTTGGTAGCAGAGAAGGTTCAATTACTGCTGAACTAGATCTGGAAGACTAGAGTTGAGGCAGGAGGCCTGGGAAGGAAGCCAGCAATCTTCCTGCCAGTGCTTCAGATAACTCTGCCACGCTTCCCCCAGAAGACTTGGATATTCTCCATTCTATCTAAAGCAAAATGGAGCAGAAGCAGGAGCTAAGCAAGTGTACATAAGAGCTGACACACACACACACAGATGTGTGCATATGAATGGAGGCTAGCACACGCAATGGAGGCAGAAGTTTGGACCTTTTCCAGGCCCCTTCACAGGAGATGGAGTAGGGATAGTCTTCCTCTGTTTAAACACTATAATACGGCAGTAAAGCCCATGGTATATGGGGCCGAATTCTCCCTGGAGTCCATTCCCTTCTGCTTGTGTCTACCCTGAGATAGGCACAGAGGCTCCAAGACGTGTCCACATCCAATACATGACCTTGGAAGAGATTGGGCTCTGTGACCAAGTTAAACTAGTTTCCCCTGGGGGGGGGTGGGGATAATACTCATCAGTTGGGTAGATGGATGGAAAGGCTAGACAGACATAACACTGCAAGCTGAAGTCTGCTTCTGAGGCAGACAGACAAATGAACAGACAGGGCAAGGCCCTTTCTACTGCCCATATGCCAGCATCGGCGGGACACCACATGGAGAAAGCTGAAGGTGCCTGGCTGAGCCACCCTGGACACATGGAACCAATGGCCCATACTCACCTAGGGTAAGGTGCCCCCGGGGAGACTGCAGTCGAAAAGTGCTGTCTATATCCACAGGAAGGGGGGAGGGGATAGAGAGGTGGGCTCGCCCTGTGGTCAGGGAAGAGAGAGAGTTCAGCAGCTGCTCTGGCTCTGCTGAGGGTGGGCAGAATGGGCAGGAGGAAGCTGGCTTAAAATGTAGCAAGGACAATGGAGGGCTAGACATTTGGGAAGGGCTTCCAAGGAATGCTAGCATAACATTCTGCATCATGGAGTATCAGGGCTAGATGCAAAGTCAGGTTATGTAGTACAACTTCCCTAAGGCAGGAATTCTCTCCTACAGAATCTGTTAGGAAAATCCCAGTCTGGAGGAAAATTGAATAGGAGCAGACACTGACCCTTTCACAGAGTTTACAGTCTGAGATTAAAGAGGAGATAGTCTTTCAGCTTCTGTATTCATTCATTCATTCATTCATTCATTCATTCAAGTAGGTGCTTCCTGTGTGCTGAACACTATGCTAGGTGTTGGGAGAGATAATGAGACTGTCCTGGCTGCAGTGTAGGAAGGGATAAGACACACATGGATAATTAAGAGTATACTGTAACATTTGCAAAAAAGTATTATGTGGGATCTGCAGGGTACAGGATTTAGAACTGGAAAGTGGGACATCAAGGAAGGCATTTGACATTTGATTTGGACTTTAAAAAGGATTCAACAAAGGGGAAAGGAAGAAATTGTAGGTATAAGGAAATAATATGAACAAAGATGTAGAGGTGAGAGAGCAAAAGGTATCCTTAGGGACAGAGAATATATAGTATGATTTGGAGCATAAAGTTGGGTGGATGGGAGTTATACGATAGCTTAAGAAAATAAGATGGCACCAGACCATATATGATCTTGAATGTTAGGCAAAATTTGGATGCTATTTGATAGTATTTTTTTCAGCTGATGAGTAACATAACCAGATCTTTGCAAGTGGAAGATTAGTCTAGTAGTGATGTGAAGGACGAGTTGTGTTTTTTTTGTTTTTTTGTGGGGATTGGGCAGGAAGGATGGAGAGAAGAAGAAGCAAGAGAACCTAGACAGCTGATAAAATACACACACACACACACACACACACACACCCACACACCCACACACACCCACACACACACACCCCTGATGGCAGTGGGAAGAGAGAGGAGAGGACATAGAAAAGATGATGGCTGAGATGGAATTGACAGGATGGGCAACCTAATACACATGAGAGCTGAGAGGGAAAGAAGCCCTCAAAGCTTTGAATATAAGATAATGGATGGTAGTGCCACTGACAAAAGAAGAGTACATACTTGACAGCTAATAATGGAGAACTCTCCACTTCAAAAGATACCCCCCCAACACACACACACACAATCCCATTGTCCCATTGTTGGATAGCATGATGGTTCGACCTGCCAGTGCAGAAGATGGGGAATGTGGGATAATAGATTTTTTTTGATGTGTTGGTTTTGCTGCAGTTTTTTTAAATTTCTCTTTTGTATTTTTATAAGTGGTGGCTTTCTAGGAAGGGGAAAAGAAAAAAAATAGGGGAAAAGGAGAAGCATACATTTGGAAATGTAGGTTATATAAAAACAAAGTATTTAAAAGAAAATATTTTTAAAAAACTTTTAAAAAAGATAAAGACCTGCTTGTAGACTGGGAAGAGGGGCTAGTATAGTCAGACAGCTAGCATTTATAAAGCACCTATATGTATCAGACACTGTGCTAAGCACTGGGGACACAAAAAAGGGCAAAAATAACCAGTCACTATTCTCAAGGAGCTGACAGTCTAAATAGGGGAGACAAGATGCAAAAAAAGAATGTACAAACAATATATACAGGATAAACTGGGGGTAAACTCAGAGGGAAAGCACTAAGATTAAGGAGGTTTGTAGACTGATCCTGTGATCCTATAAGATAAGGTGGTTTCCTTGCTTCTCTTCACCACAAGGGGACAGCAAAGGCCAAAACTGACGGTCAAAAACTCATTCTCTACAAGTTGGAGACTTTCCTTTGTTTTTCCTGAGTGGCAAATGCTGTTAGAACATCAGAGTCATCCAGAGATGCCTACTGATGATAGTTGCAAGAAACAATTTTAGAGGTCATCAAGTCCAGCCCCCCTTCCCTCCCCCTCCCCCTGCCCCCGAACTCTTAGGGACTGCTCCTGGGAAGAGGTACAGGGAGGCACTGTGAACAGTGGTGAAGCGCCCTTTCTTATGCTCTGGATACCTAGGAAAAGCACTCTCAACATCAAATGACTTCAATGGCCATAGGGCCCCTGCCCAAAATACCTGTGCCACAAGGCCTGAAAGCCCACAGAGACTCACACTGGGCATTAGCATGCCTTTCTCCAGGTTGCCCTGTTCAAGTGTACATCCCTGTTCCCCCAATTAGTCTCCATCTCTGTCTACTTTTCCCAGGAATGACTTTTCCTTCCTGACAGAAGAAGCTGTTGTGGAGATGAGAAGAAAGGAGTTGGGATATAAGATCATGGGATTTTCAAATCTGTTAGGAATCTTATAGAAGAGATCATTTAACCACCTGCTTCTTCTTATAGAGGAGTAAATTTATGCCTTGAGAGAAGTGACTTTTTCAGAGTCACATATGCTGAAGTAATAACAGTTGGGATTTGAGTACAGGTCTTGACTTCAAATCCAGTGCTCTTTTCACAGTTCTACTTGGAGGCAGAGTGAAGGAGGTAAAATGAGAAAGAAAGAGAGTTGTGTCATGCAGGAGCTATCCTTCCCACACTTGAACTGGTGCTGCTACACTGTTACCAATGTGGATTGCAAAGGGAGTAAGACCCTTGTAGAAAGCTCTTGTTGTGCTTAAAAACAGCGTTTTTTTTCTTTTTTTTTTTTTAAAGGCAATTGGGGTTAAGTGACTTGCCCAGGGTCACACGGCTAGTAAGTGTCAAGTGATTGGTCTGAGGCCAGATTTGAACTCAGGTCCTCCTGACTTCAGGGCCAGTGCTCTATCCACTGCGCCACCTAGCTGCCTCAAAAACAGCGTTTTACAATGGACACAGAACACTTCACTTTGTGACCATGGGCAAATTTCTTAACCTCTTTGGGCCTCAGTTTCCTCATTTGTAAAATGAAGGGGTTGGACCAGATGTGTTTGATGTCTTTTCCAGTTCTAGATCTTATAAGTATCCAGGATGGGATTCTTTTATGCCCATGTGGGTTGGAGGCAGCACTCACAAAGATTCTCAAGTATTATTTTTCTACACTATTCCAGGCCCAGCTTTCCCTGGCCACACTGTTTTACTCTTCCCTCTCTCCCCAATTCTTCCAGCTGGCTCTTTCCCCTCAGCCCCACTTTATGTATACAGTATCTATCTCTCCCTAGGGCACCCTAGGAAATCAGTGAGAGAAAGAACTGACTGGATTCTGCAGCCTAGATGGTTCCTAACCTCTTGCAGGCTGCCCTGGACTCAGGCTCTGCTATGTGATTTCAGGGTGGGGCTCTGGAGAAGCTGCCCATCCTTATGAGCAGTCCAGAGTTTGGGGGTGGTGGTAAATAAGCCACATCCTGTGTATTTCAGGATGGGACCAAATGAACTTGCTCTTCTGACCCAGATTTTGATGTGTATTGTAATAGCAGGTCCTTCCATGAAGTGGAGGACTGGGGCCTGAAGTCAAGGGGACCCTAGGAAGTTTGGGAAAGGCATGCTCCCAACTATGGGAGGAAAAAGGGAAAGGAATAAAATCTTAACAAGAGTACCTCCCCAGGACTTCCTTAGTTCAGGTTGACTCTCTGAGAACACTTGAATTCAGAGGATCACAGATTTAGAGCGGCCATCTAATCTAACCCCCCACATTTGACAGATAAAGAAACCGAAGCCAGGAGGAAACTTGAAACTCGGGTCACAAAGGCAAAGTGTCAGAGCAAAGTTTCAAATCCAGGCCCTCCAAGTTTAAGTGCTTTACACCATACATTCCTGTCTTGGCTCCAGGAAATGGGTTTGGGGATTTCAGACCTCACGCTTTCCAACCCACTCACCTTCAATTGGAAACCTCCTAGAAGTCCGTAGGGAGGGGACGGCTCTACCGCCCATCCTCATCTTGGAATGGGACCTATTCCAGTCTGAGAGGAAACAGTGGGAAGTGCTAGAGCTGAGCTGGGGAGGGCAGTGCTGACTGACCGCAGCAGCATTCTCTTTGGGAGTTCTGCTGAATGCTCTCAGGGTGCTCCCCCTGAAGCTCTCAGAGTTCTTGACCCATTTTCACAACTGAAAAACACAACAGTCACGGCTGATTCCCAGGGAAGTTAAAGGACTTGGCTGAGGTCCCCAAGCAACGGCAAGAAGTGGAGTCTGATTGGAACTAAACTTGACCAAGTCCCTGCCCATCAAACCGAGGGAATTCCAACTCAGTAAGACAGGAATCTGGAGATACAGGAACAGGTTGCGTTGTCTTAAGGAGACAAAGCAGCATCCTCCATCCTGAGGGCCCTTCTCCAGGCACAAGGAAACAGCACAGAATGATTCCCCCCAAAATTGGAGGCAAACTTGACAGGCTGTCGTGCAAGAAGCCAACTCGGATAAACCCTGTTCCTGGATTTCTAGATTCCCAATGTGGAGGGTAGTGAGAGACAAAAAAATATATTTCAGGCCAAACTTGGCTCCTGGATACATCCTAGACTAGGGGAAGAGAGAGAAGGACTGGACATCAAACCTGGCCTCAGGGAGCTCAACCTGAGTGAGACAGATGGAACAGAACCAAGTCCTATCTTTTGGGAATTTGTTCTCAGTCAGTGGAGGGGAGACTCGGTTTACAGGTTCACACCTGTAAAATGGGATATTAGATGGGTCTGAGGTTCTTCCCAGGTCTGACATTATGTGATTGTTATTGTCTGACTCTTTGTCTTAAACACAGTAACAGTTGCTGGGTGGAGCGAATGAGTGAGTGAGTGAATGAATGCATGAATGAATGAACCAATTTACTAAAGACAAGATCTCTTGAGACTAGAATTTGCTCTGTAGAACTCAAGGGGGCACTGGGGAGGGGAGGAAAAAAAAACCCAAAGGTCAGTCCCCCTCCTCTTTATCTACAATCCCTAAGGAGTAAGAGTGTGCAGGAACAATTAGGGGCTTCTGCAGAGATTCAGTTTTCCTGGCTGGGACCCAGGTGAGGTGTTGAAGGCTTTACTTCCATTAGATCATTTGAAGGGAGAGGGAAAGGTTTGTGTAAGACTATCATTCATGAGCTCTAGGATCCCAATACAAGCTGAGAGATAACTGAGAATGAGGACAAGGACCAGGCCAGGCTGAGGAACCACCCCTGCGTGTTCTTAGGGAGGAAAGAAACATTTTTTTCTGATTAAAGAGAGCCCAAGACACTCTTTTCTCCCTATTCATTCTGAAGTCTGAAGATGAAGAGTTGTGAGAGAATTGGCAAATGGGACCCTAGTTATTAGAATGATAAGCAACTGGTTGTGAGCACATTTTATAAACTTGATAAACTTTGCATTGTTGAAATGCAAATGATTCTGAAAAATTATAGAACCTTAGAAAGTGATCCCATGGTCTCTAGGTTAACCAAATAGGTCAACACACCTCTCCCTGGACTAACTTACCCATCCTTCACTAACCCTTTTCTTGGCCATTTACTGTGTGAGCTCGGGCAAGTCTCTGAACTCTAGGCTAGCAAGTTGGACCAGAACATAGAAATTCCCTTCGAACTCTAAATTGATGGTACCTGCACTTTCATTCATGTTAGTGTCACTCCCATTTTAAGGATGCAGATACTGAGGTTAGAGGAAGTTAGACCTAACCAAGGTCCAGTAAGTATTGGAGAAAGGACTTAAATCCTGGTCTTCTGACCAGCAATGTTCTCATACCACTATGGCTTTCCACAGCAATGTTAGAAGGCCACAGAAGCCTAGGAGCCAGAAGCAGGGCTTGCTTTTTTTCTACCTTCTATTTTGTCCCTTTCTCTGGACACATGCACTTCTGTCCCCTTAGAAATTCCTGCTGTGACCCTCTGGAGAATTGGATTTGTGATTTCCAGTTTGCCTAAGGAACTTGCATTCAGAGTTAGGCTTTTTAAATGGTCATAGAACATACATTTTTAGGGACAGTTAGGTGGTGCAGTAGATAGAGCACTGGCCCTGGATTCAGGAGGACCTGAATTCAAATCTGGCCTCAGATGTGTAACACTTACTAGCTGTGTGACCCTGGGCAAGTCACTTAACCCCATTGCCTAGCCAAAAAAAAAAAAAAAGAAGAACATACGTTTTTGGACATAGCCAATGAGGTGATTTGCTTTGCATTGTTCTGAAGATTTCTTTCCTTCCTTCCTTCTTTGCTTCCTTCCTTTTTTTGATTTTGACTGGAGTGGGTGTGTAGAAATGAGAGGGTGATAAAGTGCTTGTTAATTGAAAATAATAATAAATTTTTAAGATGAATATGAGCTCCTAGCAAGGAGGAGTTATTTCATTCTTTGTATTTGTATCCCCAGAGCTTAATAAATGTTTATTGATTGGAAAAAAAATTCATAGAAGAATTCACAGTCACTCTCCAGCCAGGGAACTCCCAGATTCAGGGGAAAATCCTTGGCCTGGCCAAGTTGGGTTCTAGTGTAAGAGGAAGGTAAGCTGGGGCAGAAGCAGTTGTGGTTTCCTGGGAAACATCTGGCTGTGGCCTGCCCTTCCCCCTTTTCACCCTAGCTCCAAATCTTTTTATGCCCACTGAGAACTGCTCGAAACTGAATAGAATAAAGCCAAATTCAATTCCCACAAGGAGTTATTTCCAGAAATGACTGAGATGTAAAAACAAAATGCATTAATAAAACTTAACTAAAATTTTCAAAGGACTTCTACACAATCTTCTCCTAAGTGGGGTAACAACCCTCAGGGGGAAAGTCTCATAAGAAGGTAAAAACCATTTTCCTCCCCCAGAACCTTAGAAATGCCAAAGAGCTTCCTTTTTCAGGCTAAGTTAGGATGCATTGAACAGGGAGGAGAGGGAGCCATAGGGTCACCCTGTATGTGTGAGGAGAATAGGCATTTAAGGAAGCAGCCAGAGTCCCCCTATTGGGGATATGGAGAGGTCAAGGATCCCTGGGTAGTTAGTACTTAGCCTTCCTGTAGGTCGGTACAAAGATGTATTTACAACCTGTCGGTACAATCTGGCCCATCAACAGTATTTACAGACAATGGCTACATTCCACCCCTCACCCCAATCCCCTACCCCCGACCTCAAACCATCAGCCTTTTGAAGCTCCACATTCTTGTTCACACTGGATAAGAAAGTCCTTGGCTAGAATTAATCTCATAGTGACATTCCTCACTCCTGAGGCCTGGGCCTGGCTCTCAGATCCATTCACAGCCTTCCTAGCCCAGAAAGTTTTCTCACTCTCACAGGATCAAAGGATTAGGAAAGGGGAAATCTAATAAGGCTCCTCCCTGGCCCTGCCTGATCTATCTCTTCCAGGGCTGGTAGGCTGGAGGAGGAGGGAGTAGAAGCTGGGACCTTGAAGCTCTGAGCTACCTCTATTGAGTCACCTCCACCATCACGCTCCACAGATCACAGCTCCAAGCTTTGTTCGTCCCTCCCCATCCCTCAGGAACAAAGGGAACCTGGAGGCAGCTGCCCCTCCCCCTCTGTTGCTTGAGTGCTAGTTGAGCTGGGGCTGACCAGGGTGTGGTAATGGTGACCCTGTCCAGCACAGCAGCCTGTCTGGGTCAGGACCATGAGGCAATAACACTTCTCAGGGGGTAGCTGTGCCAGCTGGGCTGTGGGAGGGCTTGGCTATGGGCCACACTGTAAGCAGAGCTTCTAGAAAGGCCTGAGGCCTGGAAATGGGGGGATGTGCTTTTAGACCCTGGATGTATCTTCCACTGCAGCCCTGTCAGTGAGAGGAATCCTGGGGGAGAGCTTTGGAAGAATAAGGATAGGGGTTTGGAGGGCTTGGGCAAGGTGTGGGCATTCTGCAGGGATGCGGGCTAGGAGGAGACCAGGTTCTGACACAAGTTATGGGATTGAGCTTGCTGAAAATGCTGTCTGAACACCAGACTTAGGTGAACGGATGCCATGGGGCTGTTCTAGTTTTAGTCCAACTTGCTCATGTAAGGTCCAAAGAATCGAAGGAACGTGCCCAAGGTGACACAGCCAAGAAGAGCATTAGTGGAAGATGGCTAAGGCAGATCAAGCAGGGCGGTGTTGGCCTCTGGTTAACTTAGTGACCATGGGCTCCCATTCCAAGGCTCTAGTATTTCTCAGTCTTTTCCTTTTAAGGAAATCAGAGGGGCCCAGGGACTGGTGATAGTGAAGACACTCCCCATGGCCTGCCTCAAGGCCTCCTCTCTAAATCCAGAACTCAGGCTAATTATATAATTAAGAATTCATGCAGTGTCCACAGGGTTAAGGTTATCCCCTGGGCTGTTTATTTCCTATGGTGAGCTCCAGCCCCACCTCCTCCAGGAAGTCTTCATCACCACCAAATCAGGTTAACTTCTCACGGCCCAGAGAAATGCGATCCAAGGGCAACGAATAGGACATAATCAGCACCAGGAGCAAAGCACAAACCTTTACTCAGAAAATGTTTGATTAATTGATTAACATCAACCACCGTCACTTAGGATGTTATGTTCTCCCTTTTTTCTGACCAGCATCTTCTGCTTTAGGATACATTATAGGATCAGAGATTAGGAGCTAGGGACCTTGGAGTTCATTCGTCCAATAATCCTTCATTTTATAGATGAAAAAACAGGCCCAGAGAGGTTAAGTGAGTTTCAAGGTCACACAGCCCAAATAAATGTCTAATATAGAATTTGAACCCAGGTTCCTCCACCCCTATGCTTCTGTTCTGGACATTCTCCCACCTCCTGCTTCCTTCATCCTGAGAGGAATCTGAACCAATTCCATCATCCTCTCTGGAGACTGGACATGTCAGAGAAACTCTGAGTTCTCCCACCTTCCATTCTAACAGAGAAAGTCTTCTTCTCTAGCTTCTATATCCCCATCAGCTTCTTCCTTTACCCCGAGATACTAGAGCTTCTCAGGAACAAAGAAATGGGAAAGTAAATCTGCTCCAAGCCTACCTACCTTGGACACCCCAGCCCAGCGACCCCATAGTACACACAGTTCATACCTCCTTATGTATTTCTTTTTTCACATGTTTATGTTCTGTCTCCTACATTAAACTCTCAACTATCCAAGACCACCAAAACCTGAGACTGTTTCCTAATTTCTTTAATTTTTTTAAATTTTCTAATTTTTTTTTCCTCCACAGTATCAAGGATAAGCTTTTCTCCATGCACAAAGAGTGTGGTACCCTGTTTCTGGCCACCCTGAAGACAATTAATCCATCCCTGGGCTGTTGGTAACCCAAAGCTCACTTTCTGACAAACTTAACCCCAAGACCTCTTGCCTGCCCTGGAGTAAACCAAACTTGTCTCCCTTGCAATAGGATATTGGAATTAGCCCACCTTGCCTTGATTTCCCAAAGGCTCTGGGTTTACCATAGCTAGGCAGTGGTGATTTAGTGGAAAGAGGAAAAAACATTTTTGGAGAGAATAAGCTCTAGAGACTAAGAGAACAGGCTAGTGACTGGCCAGCCCCACCTACTTCATGGGTTAAATAAAACTCTCAGCTGCACCAAATGAAACAAGCTCAAGGGTGGGAAGAGAGCTAATACGGTCAGCACCTTTCATTTTTCATCAGTACCATAGGGAGAACTAGATGCTTTGTAAGTCCCATGAGTAACATGTGACTCTTTTGGAGTTCTCTTACAGAGATGAAGACACCCTTATAATTTTAAACTCCATTTCCCCTAAAACTGGTGCTGAGCAATTTTCTGCACTGAATTGTGGAACCAAGTGAAACAAAATGTTACTTTTCTTGATAGAAGGAGAAAGCTAAAGGACCCCTGGGAAAACTGAGGTTCTTTTGGAACAGCAGCGATGTAGTAGCTCATCCTTGCTATACTGTGGTGCTGGTTGATTGAGCCAGGATCTTGGCCCTTTGACCCAATCCTCAGCCCGTGGGTGTTAGGTCAGAGAGGGCATACGCCTTAATTGTTCAGAAACAGTAACACTCCTTGACACTCACCAGCCCATGGTGTGAGAGATCTGTCCAACACCACCTGGAGATAAAGAGTAGAAACTGGAGATGTCGGTGGTCTGTAATGGGCGGTGAACACCTGGATGGAGAAGCAAGATGGATTAGAAAAAGAGGCAGGGGAGGGGCTGAGGAAGACTATCTGAATGGAGCATTCTCATACCCTTTAGATCCATATGTGGTCTAGATGGAAGCACTGTGCCATAGGGAAGCAGACCCAGACTAGAAGTCAAGAGAACTATGTTCTCATCCTGGGCTTCCCTTGAGAAAGTCCCTTCACCCCTTTGCATCTCAGGGTCACGTGTAAGATGGGATAATGATCTCTGCCCTGCCTCCCTTAAAAGGCTGTTACAGGATCAAATGAGATAATGAATGTAAAAGCACCCCCAGTGAAGGCTGGTTATCAGTTAGGAACTTGCTGTTTTGGGCAGAACTTGGGCCAAGTTCTTTCCCTTCTCTGCATCCAAGTTTCCCTGTCTTTAGAATGAGGGGTTGTATTAGATGGTGTCTGAAATCCTTCTAGCTCTGACATTCTATGATTCTAAAGCATTTTAAAAAATAGCTTTAAAAAGTTGTACATGTTTGGAATTATCTACATGATCTGGAGTCTACCTGTTCAAAGTTTATTGGAAACAGAGAGAACATAACTCAGAACTGGAGCTGTCCCATCCCCCAAAACGCATCATTTTGTCAACTTAATCCCAAGTAGATGTGAGGATGATTGGGACCACGTGTCAGTGTCAGCCACAGGGGGTGATCCCTATTCGCACTATCCCTGGAGAAATAGCCATTTGGTACCTGGATCCTAATGCTTCAGGTGGAAACAGGGGGATGGGTTGGGGAGGACGGGATCCAATTTATTCTCAGAGGGAAGCAGTAGTTGGGGGAGGTGTGGGTGGGATTTTTGACACCAGAGACTTTGTAAGAAGTCCTAGAAGTGAAGGGATTCAGCCCCCAGAATCTCACCAGGGACAAAATGTGAATAGGAAAGACCAAAACTGAGGAATTTAGAATCCTCTCTAGTCTTCCCCTGAGGTTCCTCCTCCTCCTCCTCCCCCTGCCCCTGCCTCAACACACCCCAACAACAAGGCCTGAGATGTCTCAAACTTCCTCTCTGGAGGCACATGGAATCCTCCCTCTCCCACCACCCCCCATATTGGCTACTCTGAACACGTGAACATCCTAAAAACAGATAAATCAGGAATAGCTGCTGTATCAACCATCGTGGGCAGTGACCAGGAGCCTTAAAAGGATGACTAATTGCAAAGACAACAAGAATAGCCATGACAGTAATTGATGTGGGACGGTGTCAGAGATGAGAAAGGTGCCTGGTTTGGACCTGCCTGGACAGTAGCCAGAGCTCCCAGAAATTGAAAGTCAATGGGATTTGGGGGCTACCCAAGGCTAAATCTGCCTGAGTCAGGGCATTTCTGTCTGGAGACGATACTTTTTCTAGGAATGACTCCTTTGCTCCGGTATGTCTGGGGATGATTCAGAGAGTGTATCACTTTTGATTTACTCCCTGGCCCTTCTTTTGTTAGGGTAGGGTGAGGTGTGTGTTGGGGGTGGTGATGGGGTGTAGGACAAGCAGTCCCAGATTCCTAGACATCTGAACTCTGGGCTGGGAATCTTGAGGGGAACAAGGGTCTAGGGGGACCGGAGTTCAGGCCTGCCTCCGATAAGCATCAATCCCACTAAGAAGAACTTGGCCATTCTCACTCTCAGGGAACAATCCCTGCACTTCCTGGAGAGGTAACCATGGACAAAGCAACGGAAAACCGCCAGTGGTTTTTACAGTTTGGCTTGAAATTGGGGCAAAATTGGGTTTGCCCTCTTGGGGAAAAGTTCCTGTTGAGGTATTAAAAAAAATGCTCATTTGTTCTTTAAACCATAGTCCAAATGTAAGAAGCAGAGTCGTACAGCTTGGGGGCAGCAAGGACTTTTATACCCATTTTACAATTATAGGGACTGAGGTTGGGAAAGCTAAAATGATTAAGTGCTTCTAAAGGAGCTTTCCACAGGGAAACAGGGGTGAGGAACCTGCAGCCTTGAGGCTATGTGCTGCCCTTAAGGTCCTCAAGTATGGCCATTTGACTGAAAAAGGGCCACACTTGAGGACCTACAGGGCCACATGTGGCTTGGAAGCTGCAGGTTGTCCAGCCCTGGGTTAGAGGCTAAGCCTGCTACCATGGAGAGAGCCCCTCAACTCAGGACACTTCCCAGCTGTGGGGCTATGAGACAAGTCACTTTCACTCTCTACAGTTTCAGTTTTCTTCCTCCTCTGATACCTTATCATGGTGTGGAGGTGACCCTCGGGGCTCCTGAAGTCTGTGTCCCCAAGCACAAACTTTAGTGGCTCCTACCAAGATGAAAAAGCTTTGGGCGAAGGCCAGGCAAGGGATTGTATGCCTATCATCTGAAGCCCAAGCTAGTTAAATTGGAAGATACCTGTCACTGGATGGGTGGCCATTGAGTAATCTCTTGACCACTGCAAAGGGGATGGAGGGCGGGGTTCCATCTGAATCAGTGGAAGAATGACGCATATATTAATCAGCTAGTTGGTACAATGGATAGAACACCGGGCCTGGAGTCAGGAAGACTTCAGTTCAAATCTGGCCTCAGACACTTTACTAGCTATGTGTAAAGCCTACCTTGGGTAAGTTACTTAACTTCTGTCCCAGTTTCCTCAGCTGTAAAATGGGGATCATGATAGCGCCTTCCTCCCAAGGTTGTTGTGAGGATCAAATGAGATCATTGTAAAGTGATTAGCACAGTGCCCGGCACATAGTAAGTACTATGTAAATGTTAGCTATTATTAATTGTTGTTATTATTATTAAATATGGAAGCAATATCCCTGTTTTTTTTTTCACAAGGGTAAGGATTTAATGAGACAATGCATGTGAAGGCACCTTGAAAAGTACTGTGGGCATACCACGCTCACAGAGAGGGGCATTCATCGTCATCTTTGTTTTGTTACTGTTACTGTTGTTGTTGTTGTTGTTAGCATTATAAACTTCTATCCCAGCTCCCCCAGCCTGAAATCTCTCTCATCTCTCCTCAGCAGTGTCTTCCAAACCCTGGTCCCATTCATTGTTCTCAGAGTACATGATTATGGCGTGTAAGCCATATCCGGCCTCAATTCACCCTTTGCCCTGCTGGCCGCTGCCAATCAGGTCTAAACCCTGACTATTCCCTGGCTTTCAGTTCCTGTCAGAGTTTGTGCTAGTTCCCAATGCTGATAGAAACCTTTCTTGCCTTAGTTTCTTTAGATGTCAAATGGATGTAGCACTCTTGCTTTCTCTCTTAGGGCAGTAACTGGGAGCACCTAAATGTCCTGGGGGAGGGGGAAAGGGGGATGCCAAATAATCCTTAGTCTTCTTCTAGGAAAGCAACCCTATCATTCTGTGTTTGGTCTAATGCTTGTCACCTCCTTTTGTGTACTGGTCCCCATGCCCCCAGTTTGCTTTGCTTGACTATGCATATTTGTTATAAGACTTGTCTTTTTTTTCTTGTTGTTGTTGTTGTTGCTGTTCAGTGAGGGAAGGGTGGGAAGGAGAATAAATAAATGCATGTTAATTAAAAAAAATTAATAAAAAAAACATACAATCCTACCTTGCTTCTGGTTGATGTCAGCAGAGACATGTGTCTGGTGGGAGCTGAAATGTTCATAGAGGGGTGTGATCTGGGGAACTCCATGGGAGGGCTGGCCAGGCTTGGTGTGCTGAAAGACATGAGAGAGACAGCCCCCAGCCACCCACCTGTAAACATGAAAATGACTCAAGCCACTTGCAGCAGCCCAGAATTTCTGGAGCTTGACAGTGAACTTCATGGTCTCAAAGGAGCCTCATCACAGTCTGGGAAGCAAGGTGGCAGAGCAGATATTTTTAGTCTCTTTTTACACATAGAAAAACTGAGGCCAAGGGAGAGAAAAAGAATGACCTCAAGTTCACCTAGTTAGCCAGCAGTCTATCAGAACTAAGATCCAAGCAGGGGTGTGCTGGAGCCAGTGCCAAACCTTTAGGAGAATCCATTGTTAAATTTCCCGTGTGATCATTTATGCCTCAGAAACGAGCAATCATTATTCATCAACCTTGATATATTATTTTGTTGATTGCTTTGGATTAAGAAAGTATTAATAATGCCAATTAAATTTTAAAAATGCACACACTTTTAAAAGCCCACACCCCTACACTGTTTTATAACCATTGTTTGAGCTCAGCAAGTCTGCAAGAGAAGGCTCAGGGAATGAAGTCATTATCAAATTGGAGACCTAGTCACTGTAGACTAAAAATGATGATAAGGATGACAACTGGTATTTATAGAGTGCTTCAAAAGGTTTGCAAAGTGCTTTTTACATCCATTATCTCATTTGAACCTCACAACCTACTTGACCTGTGATCTAGGGCTCTTTCTACCATTCACACTGCCTCCTTCTTCTCTTTACAGCCATCCTTTGGCTCACTTCTTGAACAGCCCTAATCACTGAACGGGTGTTGCCTCAGTCAAAGTGAGAACTCGGAAAGACCTTAGCTTAAAAAGGCCATCTGGGTTCAGTGGTCATATACAGATCAGGACAACTGCAGATGGCCCTGGAGGAGAAAGTAAGGCTGGTGACTTTGCATAGCCCTGCCTCACTTAAATCCAATTCACTTGCAAGTCATAGCAACATCTTCCTGATGTCATGGTCCTCTTGACCTTGAGAACGAGGACAAACCACACACACACCACACACACAGAGGAGGCAGGGTATTCATAATTAATCTTATTCTACTTGAGGCACTGTGGTCCCACCTCTGACACAAACTGGCCATATCAACCTTCACAAGACCTAATTTAGTCTTTCAGTGTTCTAGGCCAGTGGCTTCAGATTCAAATAGAAAGAAGGTAAGCTGCATGTTTGACCCCTCTGCATTCTCTAAGACTATATATGCTGCAGAAATGGTGCCAACTTATATAGATAGAGTTTTGAATTCTGAATCCCAAGGCAGACTCATAGAGCTTTCTCCAAGCTGACCCTAGTTCCTTCCCTGCTAAAGAAGAGGAGTTAATATTTCTGAAAGGCTTCCATCTGTGCCTCTTCTCTTGGCCATGGTTTTATTGACTAACACTGCCCCACACACAGGTGAGAGAGTGGTGGAGATAGGGCTTCAAAAAGTTACGTAATCTGTCTCTGTCATTCCCCCCACTCTGCCTAGGACTGGGCTGGGCATAAATTTACCCCAAGCCTGGAATGAACTCTTTCCCCATATCTGGCTTCTGAAGACAGAAAGCTTATTTTCTGTCAAGACCCAACTAAGATGCCACCTCCTCTATGAACCCTATTCTGGACCTCCCCTCAATCCAGGTGAAAGTGACTCCTCCTACCTCAGATTTCCCCTAGCACTTTGTCCCAGACTCTCCATATTCCTCTTGCTTTCCCTTGTAATATACTCTACCTCTCTGAGCTTTGTTTCTTCATTTGTAAAATGGAGCTATAATACTAGTGTTATCTACTTCATAGGGAAGTTAGGGAAAATCACTTTGTAAACCTTTAAGTGCTATGGAAATATGAGTTATTATTAATTATTATTATAAGTTTGGATCGGTGATTCCTTTGTAAAGAGAATTCCTTTGTAACTGTCAGTGTTACAATTCTCTCTACTGAAGAAGCTCAGAAACTCATCTCTAACACATGACGTTAGAGTTGCCTGATACACTTAGAGGTTACGTGACTTACCCACCATCACAGATGGTATATAGGGGAAGGAGGACGTGAAATTGGCTCTTCTTGAAGCCAAGGCTGGCTCTATATCCACTGTCATGATGACAATCATTGGCGTACTTGTTCACCCCCGGTCCCTTCTCTTGGAGGGCAAACTCCTAGAGAGCAGGTATTGTGACATAGCACACAAAGATACATGTATCCTCAGAGCCCAGTGTAAGGGCCCTGCCTTTAGGAGGTGTGTAAAAATGTTTGCTGAATTGAAAATCGGATTGGACTGAACTGAACATCATCAAAACACTCAAAAGACTACGTGACTCCCCTACCCCCACACGCCCTTAGGGAAGGGGGAAGGGAGAAAAAGGAAGGATGTAGAATGGAGGGGGGTGATGGAGTAGTTGGAGCCCTGAGGGGCTCCTCTGGGAGGGTTTCCTAGATGAGGTTAGTTTTGGAAGTGGAGGAAGAAGGAAGGGAAAGGGGCAGGGTTTGGCAGAGAACAGGACTGTTGGGTTTGTTTTGGACGAAACTAGGGCCACAACCAATGAGCCCTTTGGTGGGGGTTTGGTGTGGGAAGTTGACTAAAGGGGCCCAGTGTGGATGAGAAGCCACAAATAAAAGGGTATGGAGCGGGTAGAGGGGATGCATGACCCATAAATAGCCTGGCAATTAGAAGTGGGTGGGGCAGCTGTGCCTTAAAGGGAAAGCAGTTGTTAGTTAGAAAAGCCACAGGCTTACCCCAAGCTCTCCAAGGAGGAGATAGCCCAGCCAGAATCTCCAGAAGTGGGTGGGTGTTGGGGAGGGGGTGTCTGGGGACAGCCCAGTCTGCAGCAAAAGAGGACAGAGTCCATGAGTCCTCCTGAATTCAAGTCAAAATGACTCTTTTGGGCATTCAAGGCCCTTCATCATCTGGTCCAACTCTATCTCACCAACCTTCACTCCTACGGCTCCACCAACAAGCATACCTGTGCTGTAACCAAAAATCACTTCTTTCTGGTGTGTCTTTGCTCACACTGTTCTCCCTTTTCCATATATCCAAAGTCTACCCATCATCCTTCAACCCCTACCTTCAGGCCCCCACCTCAAGGAAGACTTCACAAGCTGCCCCAGTCTTCACCAATCACTCCTTCCTGGCACTGATTATCCACACTCCTTGGCTGGTGTGTAGCATAAACATTTCTCACAAAATTTGGACTTCTTTGCCTGGCATTCAAGGCCCTCTATAATATAGTTGTAGCCTGTCTTTCTAGACAGATCTCATGCACTCCTCGCTCCCTCAGCACATACACTGTCTACGTGGCAACCAAGCTGGGACTAATCTTTGTCATCTGAACACATACAGTTTTGGACAGTGGGAAGAATGCTGAACCCACGTGGGATCACGGGACCTGAGTACAACTCCGGCTCTGCCAGTTACCAGTGACCTGCAACCTTGGGCAAATCACTCCTCCTCCTTGGGCCTCAAATGAGGGGGTTGGGCTTGACAGCCTCAAAGATCAGGATTAGCCCTCCCAGCTCTCGATCTAGGATCCAGTCTCTTGGATCAGACTGGTCCCCCGCTTCACCCATACTTTGCTATTTGAATTCCTGCCCATCCTTTAAGAGGCAGCAGACGGCCCAGTGAATACAACGCTTCACCTGGAGTCAGGAAGGTGTTGTCTGGTTATATCTTTACTCCTTGTGACCCCATTTGGGGTTTTCTTGGCAAAAGATGCTGGAAAAGTTTGCCATTTCCTTCTCCAGTTCATTTTACAGATGAGGAAACTGAGGCAAACAAGGTTAAGTGACTTGCCCAGGGTCATACAGCTGGTAAGTGTCTGAGGCTGGATTTGAACTCAGGAAAATGAATCTTCTTGACTCTAGGCCCAGTGCTCCATCCACTGTACCGCCTAACTGCTAGGGAGTTAGAAAGACCTGAGTTTAAATCCATCTATCTTAATCAGTTCACCTTAATTCACTGGAGAAGGAAATGGTAAACTACTCCAGTATCTTTGCTAAGAAAATCCCAAAGACCGCATCATGTTGTGGTCCACAGGGTCACAAAGAGTCAGACATGAATGAACAACTCAACAACAACAACAGCAACAACCATCCTTTAAAGCTCAACTGATATACTATATCCTTCGAGAGATACTTCCCTGATTTGTTTGCTTCCCCTCTCCTTAACTGAATAAATGACCTCCCTCCTCAGACAGCACACATCATTTGATTTTGTCCATCTCTAATGCACTTAGCATGTATTGTTGTCCCATTTCCTAGACTGTAAGCTCTGTGGAGTTGGAGACTGTCTCTTAGGGAAGCACTGTATGGCACCTAATAGAGTGCTCTACAAGTGGGAGTCTCACAAAGTTGGTGGTGATTGTGTTGTTGTCTAAATTGTAATGAAAGAGGTCTGTTGTAGTGGAGAGATGACTAGCTTTGAAGTTGGAATCCCAGCTCTGTGACTTTGGGCAGGTCACGGGAGGAGCCTTCACTCAGTAAAGAAGGGGTTGGACTAGATGATCTATAAGCTTTACCACTTGTGTGACCTTAGGCAAGTCTTTAAATCCTCTGAACCTTGGAATAAGGTGGCCTCAAAGATATTTTCCAGCTATAAAGTCCATGATCCTATGAGTCTGACCCTGGCTCCCCAACTGGACTGTGAGTTTCCTGAAGGGAGGGATGCTGTCATATCCACACAGGACAAAGCACAGGGCTAGGCACATGGTGCAGGGAGGAGAAGGAAGGGATGATCAATAAAAACTTACTGATTGAATAGAGACTGGAGTCCCTTGCAGTGCTGAGTGCCACAGGCAGGGCTGGGAGATAACTTCCCCCAAAGCCCCTCTGGTTCTGAGACTCTTCTGAGTGGGGCTATTGGGTGTTTGCTGGGCCCTTGCCCCCTGCTTTCCGAACTACCCAAGCTTCCTGTCTCACTCATGTAGGAGGCCACAGCACTCTTACTTTTCGTAGAAATGGCCTATGGTGGCATTCAGAGATGACTCATGCCTCACTGAGATAGGAAGATGGGGAGAGGCAGAAAA